TTGGGTGGTCGTCGTGACAAAGTAGCCCAGGCGGCGGCCGATTTGAATTTTTGATTTCTGGCCATTGATGACCAAGGTTTTGGGGGAGGCAAGCGTCTTGGCGTCGACCGTGTTGGTTAGGCAATCGATAACGTTGTTGAAGTCGGTGCCGTTGACGGTAAACACCATGCCGGGGCCACTCTCGTCGGCAAAGCCTTTGCTCCAAAGGTGCACCTTGGCGCCACTGAGCCGGGTCAACGCGTCGAAATTGACGCCATGGTCACTATCCTTACCCAACCGAACCTGCAGGATGCGGGCTTCGATCATGACTTGTCGCGGCATCTGATCTGCCTGAGCGATGTAGTCCGCCACTCGTTCGATGAAGGGTGGCAGGTCCTCCACCACAATCTGTTCCACCGTGCGGAGGTTGTCTTCGGGGTTCAACTGCCGGATGAAAACCTTGCCAACAGGCGAGAGCAGTCCTGTCACCACCTTCTCGAGATCGTCCGCCGCGGCGTAATCGAGAGAGAACACGCGGACTTTACGTCCTTGAAAAAAGGGGCTTGAAGCGGAGTCCTTAGTAAGCTCTGTGACGTAGATCACATCGTTGCGGCTGGTCCAAACGCATCCCGCCACCGACAGCAGCGCATCCAGTGCGTTCTCAAGCGACGTGGGCTGCAGGGTAACGGTGACAGGTTTAGTGAGTGAACTGCTAGCAACGATACTCAAGCCCTGCTGTTTCGCGAGTAATGATAGAACAGAGTGGAGCGGCGCGTCACGCACAGCAACCGATACCAGACCGTCAACAATGTCAACCGTTCCGTCTACACCGTCAGGAGTGTCTAGTGGGAGCACTATCTGGCGCGGCGCGACCTCCTGGTCACGGTCTGCGCGGTCCCGATCCAACTGGCGCGGCCGACTGGGCGGAGGCGGAAGCAACGGGGGCTCGCTCATCTCCAGCTCGGCAACCTCCGGCGACGCGGGAGCCTGAGCGACCAAAAAGCGATCGGTGGACGCCGTTATTACGGCTCCAGTGAGCGGGCGTTCGCTCCACTCAACGGCTTGGTTTACCGGTGCTTGAGCAATCAGTCCCGCCTGCGGTGCGATGGGTAGCTGCGTGGCAGCAGGAGACATCGTAGTCGACGATTGTGCGGCAGGCCTCGCAACCGATTTCGGCTGCGGCAGAGTCGGCGCCTTCAGCCGGTGACCCACGCAAACTGCGCACAGCAACGCTACGCCGAGCAAGAGCTGATTGCCCCGCTCAGTTGCACGATTTTCGTTCGAGGATCGCGAGCCAGTTATTGGCATACGAGGCAATTGGCCTGACAGCGTTGCTAGCACCTGCTAGGGCGCATATTTAGGCGGACTCTAAGGAGTGTATCGGTGGTTCCGATGTGGCGCTTTCACGGTAATTGAGAGCGGCGGAGAAACGCAAATGCCCTCTCCCCCACTGCCGTTTGCATGCGGGCGAGGCAGAAAACCCGCGAGGGTCCCGTGTTAGGGGGCGGCGGAGAATGCTCCTGCGTTGCAGGCAATCAGTAGATTTGTGGGCATGCAGCCCAAAGCTATCATCGCGGACGAGCAGTGCTAGCGGCGCCATGACCTGAGCGGGCAAAGACATTTGGCTTGAGCTGTCAGCGGCTACGCCATCGCCGCGCCGAACAGTTCGTCGTGATCCAAGCTGGCCGCCATATCGCGCAGCTTGTCGCTTGCTCGCTTTTCCAGCTGCCGGACTCTTTCCTTGGAGATGCCCAGTCGGTTAGCGATGTCCTGAAAGCTCCTGACCTTGCGGTGTGCACCAAGTGCATACCGGCTGCGGATAATGAGTTGCTCCCGTCGATCGAGTTGGCCCACCATATCGGCCGCAGCCTGGCGGAGTCGGTTTCCTACCTCATCTTGCGCAAGGGAGGGACTCTCTTCGGGTTGCTGTTCAAACGCCCATTCGTCGGCGTCCCGGGCAACACGTGACTCTTCCTTTTGAGCCGCCAGCATTGCCCGGTACACGGTCCGGGCGACTGAACGGTAGGCGTAGGTGCTAAACCGGAATCCTCGGCTGTAGTCAAATTTCTCGACTGCGTTCATTAGGGTGCAAACCCCGTCACTCACGAATTCGTCAAAACCGAGTGCGCTGTTGGAAGAGACAGTCTTCTTCACCACCGAGTACACCAGTCGCAGGTTCGAGCGAATGATGCGATCTCTGAGCCTGAGGGAAGTTGAAAGAAGCAACTCAATGGTCGCGAGGTCCGATGTCCGTGGGTTGCTGGCGTTGACTTCGGCAGCAATTGACGCAGCAAGATACTTGAGCCGATTCATCTCTCGAAACAGGGCCTGCTCAAGTTCCGGGGCCAGGATATCCTCCTCGCACATCTTTCCAACGTGAGCTCCGTCGTCTCGCAGGAGGGAAGCGGCGCGCTTGATCGCCGCTTGGGGCGAAATGCGGTCAGTCCCAAACGAGTCGGACGCGATGTAGGCAATAGGGGATGCGAGCACCGTCCTCGCCCGGGCCACTCGTTCCTGCCGGCTGGCTTTTTGGGGTTGCGAGCAGATAGCGACGTTAGCAGGGCTTGGCATGAGGGCCTCCGCGGCTGGTAAAACGTTCAAATCGTTCTCTGAAGTCTATCGGGGTGCGGCAGGGGGTGCAAGTGATAAAACGTGCAAAACGTTCTCTTTGGCCATGGTTAAATAGTGATGGACTTGAGTGTTTTGCCAATCAATCTGGGCGTGGGCAGTGTTGGCTACGTTGTGGGATGCTAGTATTTAACGTGCAAAACGTTCGAATCATTTAGCTAGAAAGCGTAGTAGCGGTGCAGCCACTGCTCTCTCCCAGACAGATCGCCCGAGCGTTGGACGTCAGCGAGTCGTCCATCAAACGCTGGTGCGACAACGGTTCGATCCGGACGGAATACACCGCCGGTGGACACCGCCGGGTGCCCGTTGCTGGGCTGATCCAGTTCTTGCAGACGACCGATCACCGTCTCGCGAACCCGGAGGCGCTAGGAATCGTTGCCTCCGCAACCGTGCGAAAGCCCGATCTGCAAGCCGCGACGGACCGGCTGCTGGCGGCGTTGAATGCAGGCGACGAGGAGCAAGCAAGGCAGATTGGGGTGGAGCTTCTGCTTTCCAAGGTAGATGTCGCCGATATATGTGACGCCGTGTTCGCGCCTGCGATGCACCGAGTTGGAGAGGGCTGGGAATCGGGAGAGGTGTCGATCTACCAGGAGCGGCGTTCTTGCGGGGTTGTTCAGCGGGCCATCATCGGGATGCAGAACTTGTGCCCCCGACCCGCCAAGTCGGTGCGGCTTGCAATTGGGGCATCCGCGTCGAGCGATCTCTACGCGGTCCCCAATGCGATGGCCCAGCTAGTGCTGGTCGCGAATGGTTGGCGTGCGTGTTCGCTAGGCGAAAACATCCCCTTTTCTGCGCTGGCCGAGGCCGTCGAACGTGAGCAGCCTCGGCTCGTGTGGGTGAGCTGTTCCCACATTCCGAACGAGTCGAAATTTATCCGCGAGTTTAAGGAGTTTTCGCAATCTGTCGGAGACGCTGCGAGCATCGTTGTTGGAGGACGGGCGTTGACCGAATCTCTTCGCAAGGAACTCAGGTATACCGCCTTCTGTGACACGATGCGGCACCTGCAAGCCTTTGCCGCCGCATTGGTCGAGTGACGGCGCTGCCTCGATAGGATCGTTGAGGGCTTGAGCGGCGTGGTCGGATAGGCGCCCGCTGCTACAGTGTTTTTGGCGGGCCAAGTTGGTCGGATGGCGATCACCTTGAGCTAGTACGGCCTCGCTCCCGACTTCCCTTTTCAGACCATCGCCACTCTTCGCATGCCCGACACAGACACAAAAGCACAGATAAGTGCTGAAACCCTCAACTGCATGGAGATATGGGGGGGGAAGACGCCTGGCGAGCAGATGCTCGCACGCCCCGGATTAGACCTCTGGGTGGCGAATCGTACTTCACAGTCCGTCGGGGGTGGGGTGCACTTTGTGTCGTCTTGCGCCTCTGGGCGGATCACGCGGCTCCTGCTAGCCGACATTGTGGCCGGAAGGCCGGCGTTTTCTGATGTTGCTGTCCAGTTGAGAGATCTACTCAAACGCCATGTCAATCGCATCCATCAGTCGGAATGCGAGCATGGCATGGGAAGGTTGATTGCCGAGGCCTCGAAGCGAGGCAGTTGCGCTGCGACGCTCATGGCAACCTACTTCGCACCCAAACGCCGATTTACGGTTTGCAATGCGGGGCATCCGCCGCCGTTCCTGTTCCGGGCTGCCTGCAATGAATGGTCGCTGCTTCCCTTGGCATGCGATGCGGTCCCTCCGCTAAAATCCAATGCCGCGGTACTGGACGCGGCAGAGTATCACCGTGGCTCGGTTTGCCTCGGCGAAGCCGATATGGTTCTGTTCTACAGCGAATCACTGCTGGAATGTCGCACCGCCGCGGGCATGCCGCTGAGTGTCTCGGAGTTGCTAAACCGGTTGAGGAATTTAGGCAAACAGGGCCCTGCGCAACAGGCTTCGGGACTGATATCGCTTCTTGAACGGGAGCACCCAGAAAATCTCGAAGAGATGGACGCTACGGTGATTCTGTGCCGCCAGTCTTCACGCACGACCTCCTGGCGCGACAACCTGCTCGCGCCACTTCGCTTGCTTCGCGCCGTCGGTGACAAGACGCGTCTCTCGTAGGTCAATTGATCACCCAACGCTCTTAACCGGCGGTGGAGCCCCTACCCTCCCGTGTTCGGTGGCCGACGCGTCGCGAGTGAGAATCGAGTCAGCTTTCTTGAGGTGGTCTGGGACCTGGCAGGCTAGACCCCACTCATGTCTCGATTGTTTTGCTGATTCCGCCTTGCCGAGTTGTGGAACGCATCTAGTGTTTGATCAGTCGACGATGCTGGTGGCCACCAGAACCTGTGCCGACGCCATTGGGGTTCCAGGCGTCACTTACCAAATCACTCAACTCTACGGACAAAGACAATGTTTACCAGACATCAATCGCTAGTTCCCGCTTTCGCTGCCTGTGCCATGCTCGCCCTGGCGGCTGGTCCTGCCGCGGCCGCGGACAAAGCCGACATTGTAGATACGGCGGTCGCAGCAGGGTCCTTCAAGACACTGGCTACGGCCTTGACGGAGGCCGATCTTGTCAAGGCCCTTAAGGGCAAAGGCCCCTTCACCGTGTTCGCACCGACCGACGAGGCGTTCAAGGCGCTCCCCGAGGGTACGGTTGCTGAACTCCTGAAGCCAGAAAATAAGAAGAAGCTTTCAGCGATTCTGACCTACCACGTTGTAAGCGGAAAAGTGATGGCATCTGAAGTGGTGAAGCTCAAGGAAGCAGAAACTCTTAACGGCAAGAAAGTTTCGATCGCCGTGAAGGACGGCGAAGTGATGGTCGATGGTGCGAAGGTGGTTAAGACTGACATTGCGTGCAGCAACGGGGTCATTCACGTCATCGACAAGGTGCTATTGCCGAAGGACGAGGCAAAGAAGAAGTCTGCCTCTACCGGTACAGGTCACGCGACGTACACTTCGGCGGAGGCTGCGCCGACTTGCCCCGCCAGTTCAAACTAATGATGCTTCGCGCACGACGTTCGCTTCAAGGGGCTGTGACACTGTGTCACAGCCCCTTGTTTTCGTGAATTAACGTATGCTGGCCGATTTCCAGTAGTGCAGAGAGTCTCTGCTCCGCGATGTCGCTCGGCAGTTTGCTCGATGAGCTGGCTGCTGTAACGATCGAGGAGGTCCCAGTAATGGGTGGCGACGGGTTAGGCGTTGGGGCCTACCGATCGGTCCCAATCGAACGGGCAGAACGGCAGCAGTTGGGTATTCGCCTATTAATACGTACTAAAGACGACCTACGCTTGCTGGCCATCACCCCCATCGGCGAATTGAGAAATACCGAACGTGCTCGGAAATTCGATCTACTCTACTGGGTCGAGTACACTGCCAAGTGCCCTCGGTGAAGCTCTAGGAGCTAAGCTCCAAGCAGCAGGCTGCACAGCCCCGATACCATCAGCCACTGAATACGATGAGCGTACCCGCTGTTCCAGCGTCTGACCGATCTTTTCGCTCAGCACTCTATCTCCGTTCGCTTAACCACGCGCGGAAATCGGGATTGGGGGGGCCTCTACCTTTTTGTAGCGACCCTGTGCGGTGAGGTCTGCTTGGCAACGGCCCGTTCAAACAAATAGTGCCCCACCAACCAACGGCGCCCTCCGGCATATCGGAAAAGTTCGGCACAGGCCAGGAAGAACATCCGCCACCGCTGGAGGGCCACGCGTGCTTCCGGAGGTGCAAGGTCCCTCCCAAACAGCGTGAGGAGATCCGTGCGGGCGCCGTCGAGGTTACGCAGCCATGCTTCGCAGGTCTTGCTGTAGTGGAGTCCGCTCAGTTCCCAGTGCTGTTTGGCCCGAAGGTCGTCATCGAAGCATGCGAACAAATCGACCGACGGCATCGTCCCTCCGGTGAAGAAGTGTCGACTCATCCAGTCGTCGGCGCTGTTGTCTTCAAAGAGATAAGGCGCCCCGGCGTGGCAGAACACATGGACGAACGCCTTGCCCTCTGGTCTGAGCCAGACGGCGATGCGTCGCAGCAACTCCTGGTAATTCCGCATGTGCTCGAACATTTCAACCGAGACCACCCGGTCATAAGTCTTGGTAGGCGAAAAATCGGCAACGTTGGCGGTAATCACTTCTAGATTGCCGACGCCGAGTGTTTGGGCGCGGCCGGTGACGAATTCACGTTGTTGGTGCGAGTTCGAAACCGCGGTTACCTTCGCTCCAGGGTAGTGTTCGGCCATCCACAGTGAGAGCGATCCCCATCCGCACCCGAGCTCCAAGATCTGCATGCCGTCGGCGATTTCTGCTCGCTCGCAGGTAAGCCGTAGCATGGCGTTCTCGGCGTCGGCCAGCGCGACGCTAGGGCTGTCATACAGGCAGCAGCTGTACTTCAGCCTAGGTCCCAGTACCCGTTGAAAGAACGCTGGCGGTACCTCGTAGTGCTGCCGATTGGCCGCGTCCGTGCCCACGGCAATGGGGGCGGAGCGAAGGCGGTCAGCGAAATCCGCAGTGCTCATAGCAGACCCCGACTGCTGCGTGGCTTGCAGCCTTCTGCTCAGCAACCTGCGGATGCCGTGGCGGATGATAGAGTCGGGTAGGAAACCCGACTCGGCAAGTGCGATGCTGTCCACTGGTTTCCCTGGCTTGTCAGGTGGCCTAAAACGTTGGAAGTGAAGGTTGGCACTTTGTAGGCTGCGTAGAGGAGCGACCAATGATCACAGTATTGCTAGTCAATCTAGCTGCGGTCGCGTTCTTGCAACTGTGCGCGTGGGGGGTGAGCGTCGCGCGGCGAGACGCGAGCGTTGCCGACCCCGTTTGGGGCCTTTGTTTTGTCTTGCTGGCATGGGCAACTGCTTGGGGGACAGGCGCCCTTGGCGGGGCCCAGGCGGTAGTTCTGGCGATGGTGACCATTTGGGGCGTGCGTTTGACTGGGTATCTTGCCTACCGCAACTGGGGGAAGCCAGAGGACCGAAGGTACGCCGAGATGCGGGAGAAACACGGCGCCCGCTTCCCGTTGGTCAGCCTGGCTACCGTCTTTGGTCTGCAAGCCGTCCTCGCCTGGATCATAGCGTTGCCTGTCCAAGTGGGAATATACTCTCCTGGTAGTCTTTCTTTCCTTGTCGTCTTGGGCACTTTGCTATGGGCGATCGGATTTGGTTTTGAGGCGGTCGCCGACTATCAGTTGGCGGCATTCAAGGCGAATCCCAAGAACGCAGGGGAGGTGATGGACCGGGGCCTGTGGCGTTACAGCCGGCACCCTAATTACTTTGGTGAATGCCTGCTGTGGTGGGGGATTTACCTCGCCGCGGCGGAGCCGTCCAGTTGGTGGTGGACCCTTGTTGGGCCGATCGTAATGACGTTGCTGCTGCTCAAGGTCTCCGGTGTAACGCTGCTGGAGGGCGCCCTTTCCAGCCGTCTGGACGGGTATCGCGAGTATGTTCGGCGGACAAGCGTTTTTGTGCCTTGGCCACCGAAGCAGAATCCGCGTTAACAAGGGTTGGTCATTTGTCCTTCAGCGCCTATTACATAGTTGAAACCTAGAATTCCCAGCAATTAACCCGCGGCGGCCGATGACCACGCACGGCGAAGTTCAGTGGCTACGAGTGACCCCGTTTCTGTTGCTGCACGCGGCCTGCCTTCTCGTGCTCGTTGTCGGCTGGAGCTGGGCAGCAGTAAGCGTGGCTCTGATCGTTCACTTTGCGAGAGTCTTCGGACTCACGGCGTTCTACCACCGATACTTCTCTCACAGGTCCTTTAAGACTGGTCGGGTGGTGCAGTTCTTGGGGGCACTGCTCGGCAGTTCGGCCGCTCAGCGAGGACCTATCTGGTGGGCAGCGCACCACCGTCACCACCATCGTGCATCCGACCGGCCCGACGACATTCATTCTCCACGCCAGCAGGGGTTCTTGTGGAGTCACATGCTCTGGTTCATGACCCGTGAAAACTACGGAACCAATGAGCAGATGGTGAAAGACCTGGTGAAATACCCCGAGCTCCGCTGGCTAGAACGAAATGAATTCTTTGCCCCTATTCTGCTGGGAGTAGCGACGTATTTGTTAGGCGTAGCGCTCAATGTGCTTGCGCCCGAACTGGGCGCAGACGGCCCCCAGGTGTTTGTTTGGGGGTTTGTCGTCTCTACGGTGATGCTCTACCACGTGACGTTCGCGATCAATTCCCTTGCCCACAAGTTCGGCAACCGGCCGTTCCCGACAAATGACGATAGTCGTAATAACCTTTGGCTCGCATTGGTGACCTTTGGGGAAGGATGGCACAACAACCACCACTATTACCCCAACTCAGCGCGGCAGGGGTTCTATTGGTGGCAGGTGGACGTATCGTATTACCTTCTCGTCGTGCTCTCTTGGTGCGGCCTGGTGTGGGACCTGAAGCAGGTTCCCGCTAGAGTCCTCGAGAGATCGCCTCGGTCCTCGAAGGTAGGGACCTGACATGCGGATCGCAGTTGTCGGCGCCGGCGTGAGCGGGTGCCTAACCGCCCGGCTGCTGGCTTCCCAGCACGAAGTGACGCTGTTCGAAGCCGACGGTCGTCCTGGCGGACACGCCCAGACGGTGGATGTGGACCATCATGACGGCCGCTCCGCGGTCGACACCGCTTTCATGGTGTTCAACCGTCGAACCTACCCGAACTTCTGTCGGATGCTCGACATGCTGGGTGTCGAATCTCAGCCGAGTGACATGAGTTTTAGCGTCCGCTGCGACCGCACGGGCCTTGAGTACCAAGGGGGGACGCTGACCGGCCTTTTCGCGCAATGGCGCAACGCGATCGATCCTCGGTTTTTGAGGATGCTCTGGGATATTGTGCGTTTCAATAATACCGCCCTGACTGCGGCGGAAGAGCCACAGTCGCTCGCTGGACTCAGCGTCGGGGAATTTCTCCGCGAGTGTGGGGTAGGACGGCAATTTGTTTCGCACTACTTGGCGCCCATGGCCGCCGCTATATGGTCGAGCAATCCCCGTCAGATCCTAAGTTTCCCAGCGAGTTTCTTGGTAGGATTCTTCGCCAACCACGGTCTGCTTCAACTCCGAGACCGGCCTCAATGGCGGACCATCCGTGAAGGTTCAAGAAGCTATGTTGCTTCCTTGCTGGGCCCCCTGCTTGGCAGCGGCCGGGTGCGTCTCAATACCCCGGTGAAGTTCGTGCGTCGCACCGCTGATGGAGTTACTCTTGAATTGCAATCAGGGGAGAGCAAGAGCTACGATCAGGTAGTGTTAGCGACACATGCCGATAAGACGCTTCGTTTTTTGCAGGGCGGCCGACCGTTGGAACGGAAGATACTTCAGACGTTTCCCTATCAGAAGAACATCGCTCTGCTTCACACAGACACTTCCGCCCTGCCCCAACGACCCAAGGCCTGGGCAAGCTGGAACTACCGGCTCGTCGGCGAAGAACAGGCGCCGGCAACCGTCACCTACGACCTCACTCGGCTGCAACGGCTAGGGATGAGCCGGCCCTTGCTGCTGACGCTCAATCCCAACATGTCCATCGATGGACAGACGGTAATCCGCGAATTTGTGTATCGTCACCCGGCCTTCTCTACTGACGCGATAGCCGCGCAGCAACGCTGGGCCGAGATTAGCGGCCGGGGTGGTGTCCACTTCTGCGGTGCGTATTGGGGCTTTGGGTTTCATGAAGATGGTGTCAACAGCGCGCTGGCTGTTACGCGGCAGTTTGGGATAGGACTTGAGGCATGCACAGCTGCTTGTACGAGGGCGCCGTCGCCCACCACCGCCGACAGCCGCTGAGGCGCCGCTTCCGCTACCCCTTGGCGATGGCCTGGCTTGATCTTGACGAGCTGCCCCAGCTAGTGGGACGCGGCATGGTGATGTCTGATCGCCTGCTCTCCTTGTGCGCGTTCCGCACCGAAGACCATTTGACCGGTGCAGCAGGAAACGCGCGGACGGCCGTCATGCGCGAAATCATGCGGCTTGGTGGGACTGACACCGACGGTCCCGTGCGGCTGTTGACGCAGCTCCGCTGGTTTGGGCACTATTTCAGCCCCCTCAACCTGTACTACGTTTACGACAGGGGCGGGACGCGCGTCTGCCAAGTCTTAGCGGAAGTGAACAACACGCCCTGGGGCGAACGCCACCTGTACCTGCTTTCGGACGCCAACCGTGTCGCGACGGGCCCTGGGCTGCGATTCCGTCACACCAAACAATTCCATGTCTCACCCTTCATGGGGATGGACGCTCAATACCATTGGCGGCTGAGTGAGCCGGGTGAGACGCTTCGCGTGGCGCTCACCAACCACGACTCAGACACTGGCAGATTTGACGCCTGCATGACCCTGCTCCGCCGGCCATTGACCCGCAGGGCCGTTGTTGGACTTGCGGCGCGGCGTCCGTTCGCGACGACGCGGGTCCTATCGGCGATTTACTATCAAGCTCTCCTTCTATGGTGGAATCGATGCCCCTACCATCCTCACCCGCGGAAGCTCTCGACCAGCGTCTAGCCAAACGAACGGCGACCGCTGGTACGGCTGTGGGACACAGGCGTCGTTCGCTCATCGACCGAACGGCACGATGGCTGGTGCTAGACCGGCTGCGCGGCATCCAGCACGGGGGGCTCAGGCTGGTCGAGCCGGGGGAAGCTACCTTGCTGGGCGACTCACCTCCTTTCGCCGACTTGCTAGTCCGGCGGCCTCGGTTTTTCCGTCGCGTCGCGCTGGGAGGGGCATTGGGCGCCGCAGACGCGTTCGTTGACGGAGACTGGGATTCCCCTGACCTGACGTCCGTCCTGCAGGTATTGGCTCGGAACTCCATCGCCCTGCAACGGGTTGAGCGTGGCGCGCCGAGTCTGCTGCGACCGATCCGAGCCGCGTTCAACCGGCTACGCCGCAACACCCTTGGCGGCAGTCGCCGCAACATTGCCGCTCACTATGATCTCAGCAACGACTTCTTCGCGTTGATGCTCGACCCGACCATGACGTACTCGAGCGGCTACTTCGCAACTCCCGATGCATCGCTCGAGCAGGCGTCGACCGAGAAGTACGACCGCATCTGCCGCAAGCTTGACCTTGGCCCCGAGCACCATGTGCTGGAGATCGGCTCGGGGTGGGGCGGCTTCGCCGAGCACGCCGCCGGCCGGTATGGCTGCCGGGTCACGACCACTACCATATCCGATCAGCAGCTCGTTTACGTTAGGAACCGTATCTCCAACGCCGGCTTGAGCGATCGCATCACTCTACTCTCACAAGACTACCGCAGTTTGGAAGGCGCCTACGACCGGCTGGTTTCCATTGAGATGATCGAGGCGGTCGGCAAAGAGTATTTGCCCGGTTACTTTCGGAAATGCTCTAACCTCCTCAAGCCTGACGGGGCCATGGCCCTGCAGGCGATTACGATCCCCGACTGCCGCTACGAGGCATATTGTCGGTCGGTTGACTTTATCCAGCGGTACATCTTTCCGGGCGGTTCCCTGCCCAGCCCTGGAGCCATCACGGGGTGTCTAGCCGGCGACACTGACTTCCGGTTGGTTCATGTTGAGGACTTCAGCGATCACTACGCCCGCACGCTTGCCGCGTGGCGAGATAAACTCTGGGGGCGAGTGGCCGAAGCAGAGTTGCTCGGGTTCGACGATCGGTTTCTAAGAATCTGGCGGTACTACCTGTGTTACTGTGAGGCCGGGTTTCTTGAGCGGCAGGTGGGCGTTTCGCAGTGGGTATTCAATAAGCCGCTCAACCGCACCGCAGCCGGCTGATAGCGGAATGCTGCGAGGTCTTCACTACCTAGCCTTTTGCCTGGCATTAGCTCTGACATTGCTAAGGCCCCCGTCAACGGTGAGCACCTCGCCGGTGATCCACGTGTTGCCGGGCTCAAGCAACCAGTCGATCGCACTAGCGATGTCAGCCGGCTCGCCGAGGCGTCCCGCGGCGTGCATCGATTCCGAAGCCGCGCGAGAAGATTCCTTCGACCAGATCTGCTCGGTCATGCGGGTCTTCACCAAGCCGGGCGCCACGACGTTAAACCGGAGGCCGAACGGGGCGTAGGTCGCAGCCGCCGAAGCGGCCAGACCGATCACGCCAGCCTTGGCGGCGGCGATTGCTTCGTGGTTGGCGAACCCCAACCGGGCTGCCGCGGATGAGATCAGCACGATCGAGCCCCCTTCCCGCCGCATCGAATGGGCAGCTGCCCTGACCACGGCGAATGCTGACGTTAGGTTGACTCGCAGTGTGTTGTCCCAATCCGCTTCGCTCGTGAGGTGAGCTGGTTTGAGCATCAGCGAGCCGACGCAGTTCACTGCTCCCGTCAGGCAGCCGAAATGCTCCTTGGCCCCGTCAAACGCTCGCTGCGTGGCAACCACATCGGTGGGGTCAGCTTCCAGCTTGGGAGCATCGAGCTCAGAAGCGAGCGAAGTCAAACGATCGGACGGACGGCCAGCCAGTGCGACCCGGGTCCCCTTAGCCGCGAGGCGGCGAGCCGTTTCGGCCCCAATTGTGCCCGAGGCGCCAAGCACCAGCACGGCGGGCAGTAATTCACTCATGGCGGTCGCCTCGCGGAATCTGATTGGGAAGGACCACCGTACCGTAGAACGGCGGAGCCCGATGCCAAGCTGGGCGCGTCCGTCCATTTGACGCCGCCGTGTTGCCAGTAAGTTCTGTCCCACTCACACCTGCACGATTCTTAGCGACAAAACTCTGGGGTTTTGTCTTTCGCTGCGTCAGGATTTGCCTTTGCTGATAGGGTCCGGCGATCCGACGCGCGGACGAAACAGGAGGGGTTATGTCCACTGCGAGGATGTTTGAGGGCAAAACTAGTCGTAGCTGAAGAATGGCGTTGCGGTGACATGAAACGCCGTGCTCGCGCCAGCGGCGGCTTCCCAGCAACTACTCGGTACACAGCTACAGGTGGCTATCTTCTACAACAAACGAGGCAATGGTCCGGACGGTTGCCGCCGCCGAGAGAGTCAGGTTGCCGCGTGCCCGCTGCTTGCGTTCGGCGGCCCTAATGGCGTTGTCGGCGTTTCCGCCTCTGCTGACGCTCGGATGCCGCGTAGCATGCCTCCGAAAACGAAGTAGTGCAGCGGCAACACGGCGTACCAGTACATCAATCCAAGCAGGCCCCGGGGGCGGTAAGAAGCGGTCATGTGCAGCCGCGTCGTGTCGGAAGATTTCTGCGGTTCAAGGCGGAACTCCAGCTGGGCGTCGCCGGGCAGTTTCATTTCGGCCCGCAGCCGGAGCAGGCGTCCCCGCTCGATCCCGACGACCCGCCAAAAGTCCAACGCCTCGCCGTAGTGAATATTCTCGGGATGGCGTCGACCGCGACGCAGCCCGGGGCCGCCCACCAGTTGATCAAGCCAGCCGCGGATCTTCCACAGGATGTCGCCAGCGTACCAGCCATGACCGCCGCCCACCCGGCAGATGGCGGCGAACACAGCGTCGGGCGGGGCATTGATATCGATCTGTCGCTCGTCCCGGCAAACCGCGCCGCCTGCCCAGTCTGGGTCCCCGGGGATGGTCCCGGCGGCGGACCAGTGCGTCTCGACGTTGTGTGATTCGACGGCTTGGATTGCCTGGTGGATTGCCTGCTCGGTCGAGAGTGGGGTGTGCGGCATGACTTCATTGGCCGGCCGGTCCCCAACCACCACCCGATTGCTGAGCCCGTCAGCCAGCGGACGCGCGATGCGGTAGGTGACGGGCGTCACGAGACTAATCCAGAGCGAGCTCAGCCGCGGCGTCAGCACGGGGACGCCAACAATCCATCGCTTGCCCAGCCCTAGTTGCTTGGCGGTGGTCTGCATCAACTGCCGGTAGGTGCAGACGTTCGCTCCGCCGATTTCTAGCGTCTTGCCCACCGCCGCCGGCGTCTCGGCCGACTCGACTAGCCAGTGAAGCACGTCGTCGATCGCAACCGGTTGGCACTCGGTGTCGACCCACCGCGGCGTGATCATGATCGGGAGTCGATTGACCAGGTAACGCAGGATCTCGAACGACGCGGAGCCGGCGCCAATGACCATTGCCGCTCGCAGGACGGTGACCGGCACGCCCGTGGAGCCGAGCGTCTCCTCCACCTCGCGACGCGACCGCAGGTGTTCGCTGAGGTGGTCGGACTCGTCCCCCAGACCACCCAAGTAGATGATCTGCTCCACGTTGGCGTCGGCGGCCGCCCGGGCGAACGACCTCGCGAGCTGCACATCGCGCTGGTGGTAGTCTTCGCCGGCAGAGATCATAGAGTGCACAAGGTAGTACGCCACCCGGCAGCCCCGCAGCTGGTCTGCCGTGCTGCTTGTGTCTGCCAGGTCGCACTCGGCAACCTCAAGTCCGGGCTCGCCACGCCAGGTGCGCTGTTCGAGCTTGCGTGGGGAACGCACGAGGCAGCGAACCCGGCGTCCACGTCGCAATAGCGCGGGCGCCAAACGGCCGCCGACGTAGCCTGTTGAGCCAGTGAGCGCGATTGGTGCGGTTTGTGACGGAGCATCGTTCATCGGCGTTAGGGTCCTGGAATACGGGGCGCAGTTGCAGAGAATAGCAACGCAGATGAGCTTGAGAATCCGTCTGGACTCCGTCCAGTAGTAGTAATAGGCAGCATCTACCAGGCGACGAGGGGTGATAATCGGGCTGCCGATGTGGTTTACTTAGAGTCAGCTGGTCGATGTGCGGTCGCATCGACTACCAGTTGTACAGGTATTGCAGAAGTTTGCCCTCCGTCCGCCCAGTCCTCCCCCCAGTAGGCCGGGACGCCTCGGGACCGATTTCGCGGACGTGTTATCCTTGCGAAGGGCACGCGGTTCGCACTAGCGTCGAGTCTCTCCGGGTCGCCCGCAGCGGCCCGAGCTGCTCTCCCAACCGCCGCGACTATACCCTCAAACCCAATTCTTCCTGCCTCCCAATGGAAAACAGCCTAGAGACGGTGGACTCCCCTGCATCCCGCGTTGCCGCCGATCAAATCGAGCAGGCGCCCCTCCCTTTCACTAGACCGGGAAAACTCAAGGTCACGCTGATCAGCTTGCACGGGCTGATCCGAGCCCACGATCCGCAGCTCGGATACGACGCCGACACCGGCGGCCAGATTAAGTACGTGCTAGAGCTGGCCCGTTGCCTGGCGAATCAGCCGCAGGTGGGCGGCGTCGAGCTAATGACGCGGCAGATTATCGATCCGGCCATCGACGACTCGTACGCGCAACTCGAGGAGCCGATCTGCGATGGCGCTAAGATCGTGCGGATCCCGTTTGGCCCGAAACGGTACCTTAAGAAAGAATCGCTCTGGCCGTACATCGACATCTTCGTCGATCAGGCACTGCAGCACTTCAAACGGCGCGGGCTGCCGGCCATCATCCACGGGCACTACGCCGACGCGGGCCTTGCAGGCGCGCAGCTCGCCCGGCTGCTCCACATCCCGTTCGTGTTCACCGGGCACTCTTTGGGTCGGGTTAAGAAGCAGCGGTTGTCTCTCCGGAAGGGGCAGTCGGACGGGCTGGAGTCGAAGTACAAATTTAGCGCCCGCGTCGAAGCCGAGGAGATAGCGCTTGAAACCGCGGCGATGATCGTCACGAGCACGAACCAGGAGGTTCAGCAGCAGTACGAAATTTACGACCACTACGTGCCCTCCCGGATGGAGGTCATCCCGCCGGGCGTGGACCTCGACGCTTTTTGGCCCGCCGATGAGAACTGGTCGCGGCCGTCGATCGCCGACGAGCTCGACCGGTTCCTCACCGAACCTAACAAGCCGATTATCCTCACTCTGGCGCGCCCGGACGAGCGTAAGAACCTTGAGAAGTTGGTGCAGGTCTATGGTGAGAGCAAGGAGCTGCAGGAGCTGGCCAATCTGGTGCTGATCCTCGGCACCCGGGACGACATCAGCAGCCTGCCCAAGCCACAGCAGGGTGTCCTGATGAACATCCTGCAGGCGATCGACCGCTACGACCTGTACGGGAAGGTGGCCTACCCAAAGACGCACGCCACGGCGGACGTCCCCGAGATGTACCGGCTGGCCGCGAAAACGAAGGGCGTGTTCATCAACCCGGCGTTGACGGAGCCGTTTGGCCTGACCCTGCTTGAGGCGGGAGCAACCGGCCTGCCGATCATCGCCACCAACGACGGTGGCCCACAGGATATCATCGCCAACTGCCGCAACGGCCTGCTGATCGATCCCCTGGACGCCGACACGATAGAGCGGGCCTTGTTACGAGCGCTCACCGAGCCGGAGCAGTGGGAAGAATGGTCGGCCAACGGGGTTGCGGGCACGCGCGAGCATTACTCGTGGGACAAGCACGCCAGCCGCTACCTGCGTGACCTGACCGACATCCTCAACCACTCTCCGCCGCCGCTGCTTTCCCACAAATCGGCTTCCCGGCGTTTGCCGGAATTTGACCGGCTGATTATCACCGACCTCGACAACACGCTGACGGGCGATGAGGAGTCGCTGCGGCAGTTCATTGATCTTGTGCAGGCGAATGAGCACGTTGGGCTGGGGATCGACACGGGCCGCACGCTGGACAGCGCCATGGAGCTGATCGAGGAGCTCCACCTGCCGCGTCCCGACCTTATCGTCACCGATTGCGGCACGCGGCTGCACTACGGCGAGCACCTGACGCCCGACCGCAGCTGGGGCAAGGCGATCGGCTACGCCTGGAACGGGCAGGCGATCCGCGACGTGCTGGATGAGCTGCCCGGCCTGTACCCGCAGGACGAGAGCCACCAGTCCGAGTTCAAGATCAGCTACCAGATAGACCCGGGCGTGGCCCCTAAAACCACCGCAATT